CTTACTGGGTGAGCTCAGGGATGGCATCGACGGCACTGCCATACACCTTGCAGGAGCTGTGCTGCTGGAGCAGCGCCGCGTTCCCTCCGCTGTGGTCCCTGCAGGTGAGCAGGTCAGTGCATCCCCAGTACAGGTTAGGTATGGGGGCACACCTTCTCAGCAACGCTTGGAGCTGAGGGAGCTCACGGCCTGCCATCCCCAGCTGCCCCACTCCCACAGTAGCAGGCTTTGCTCTGGAATCCCCACCCCAACAAGCATCCCCAGCACCCCTAATCACTCTCCAACCCCCCAGTACCTCCTTACCAGTGTTTGTGTGTACAGAGTATAGCCTCAAGCACCACCCCCTCCTCTTCAATGGCAGCCTGGCAGGACAGAAATTTGGGTGCACGTGTATGGGGGGAACACTGCTCCCTGCTCCCTGTCACCCTGCTCTGTGCACTGTGGGTTACAGATTAGGGGCAGATACGCTCCCCACTCCCAGGACACCACAGTACAGCACTGGGAATGGGGGGGGGAAATCCCACCTGCACAGCCAGTGGGTCAGAGGGGTCGACCACGGCTGCACGGCCAGAGTCTGTGTCGATGACCAGGTAGCTGTAGTTATTGGAGAGCACGGGGATGGGCACGATTTTCATCCCTGAAAAGGACAGATGGACAGACAGACAGACATCAGGGTACAATGCGGCAAGGCTGAAGCCCCCTGCCCAAAACGGGGATGAAGCTCAGAACTCACCATGGAAGCCCAGCGGTTGGGACACTGAGTGGCCGTGGGGGAAGCGCTCACGGGCCTTCTTCACCTGCCGCTTGTAGAAGAGGAAGCCGAGGCGTGTGCGGGCGTACAGGCTGTACCTGTGGGGGGCACAGGGAGCCCCCACGGCGGGGTTTAAAATACATCCCTTTCTTGCAGCCCTGTATACCCACATGGAAAAGTCCCGGTCCCACCATCTATCCCCAGCCGTGAGCACGGCCCTGATCTGAGGTCGATCCCACACTGCAGTGCACACTAGGTTCTGGAATCAGGGGGAACACACAGTGCTGTTGGGTAACGAGGAGGACAAAACAGAAGGGGCTGCAGAAAAGGGAAGCGAGAAGCACTCCCATTCACATGCCACGTAAGACCAACAGGCGCGGGAGTAGCTTGAACTCCTATTTATACAGCAGGATTTCAGGGCTGGGGACAGATGTCACGAAGGACGTGAGATGCTCGAACCTACATCTCTACCCCATCCTCATCCGCAGGGCATCACCCAGCGCGCTACACCGTGCTTATCCTCGTAAGGGCACGGTGGGGGATGCGCCCGGAAAAACGGAGGTGGTGGGTGGAGACCGGCACTGCTCGGCGGAGCGAGGGCAGAACAAAGGGGAGCAGCGGGGGCGGCCCCACGCCTTCAACCTTTCCGCTCCCCCCGATGGCAGCGATTCCGGCGTTCCCCGCCCGCAGCCTCCCGCCGGGGGAGCCCCGCGGATCCCCACTCGGACGGCCGGGAGAGCCGATCCCTCCGTGCGAGGCGACCCCTACGGCCCGCCGGCACTCACCCCAGGCGGAAGAGCAGCGGCCCGGCGAGTGCCATGAGCGCGGCGGAGGCGCGGCGGGCGATGCGGCGCACAGCCGGGCAGCGGCCGAGCCAGGCGGCGACCACCAGCACGCAAGCAGCGGCCCCGGCCGCCACCGTCGCCCGACAGCGCGGCCCCGCCATGTCCCTCGCCCGCCCCCGCGGGGCCACGCCCCCCCCCCCGGCAGCCAATAGGGGAGCGGCGTGACTCCGGGCCGCGCCCCCTCACGGTTCCCGCCACCCCGCGCGCCCCCTGCCGGAGGGTTTCCCCTCGTGCGACGTAACTGGCGGGGAAGGGGGACCCCTGCGAATGACGTCAGCCGCGGTAGGGGTCCCCCGTGGGGGCGGGTGCGCGCCTTTCTCCCCGCGTGGCCCCGTGGAGTCCGGCCGGAGCGCGGCACGGTGCGGCGTCCCCGCGCTGCCGCCGCTGACCCCGGGGGAGCGGCGGGACGCTCCGTCCGGCACCGCCACCGCCATCGTCCACCGCCGTGCTGGACCCGCACCGACTGCTGTGTGGCGGAGCCGCCGCACGAGGGCGCGGCGCAGAGGGGCGGCCCGAGGCGGGGCAGCTGCTGTCCGTCCCTCCGGACCCGCCCCGACCGTCCCGTCCCGGCCCGTCCCGTCCCGCCCCGGCCGAGTTCCAGCCCCGCGGAGCAGCACGCAGCAGGTAGGGGAGGCCCGACAGCCCCCAGCTCTGTCCCTGCGCGAGACTGTGGCACGAGTGGGACCGTGGGGAGCGGGGAGGGGGGCAGAGACGGAGTTCCTCGGGTCCCCTCGGGTGCCCCCCAGCTCGGGCGGGGTCTCCCGGCTCTCCCAAACCATTTCCGGTCCCCTGTCTGTCTGCCCGCCCCGCCGATGCCCCCCAGCCCAACCCCGCTCTGTTAACCCACCTTACCATCCCCCCGGATCCTTCCCAGACCCCCCCCCCTTCTCTGCCTATTTCCTCCCCTCCCTCTTTGCCTTCCAAATCCCCGACGTCACCCCGCCTGCCCCCCCCCTCGCCCTTGGAACCCCGCAGCACTCCCTCTGTGCCCCGTCTGCCTTTTCCGGTGTCCCAGGAGGGGGGTGGGTGTCCCAGGGACTGGAGGGGACCTGCCTCGGGGCTGGAGGTGCTGTCCCCGAGCCTCGAGGGCACTCCGTGGTTCCACGGATAGATTGCTGCGACGTGTGGCCCTCATCTGCCGCCTTCCTCTGAACTTCCCGGAACTGATGGGAATTTGCTTGGATGGGGTGGGGGGTTGGACTGGGGGGAGCATCCCTGTGTTCCCCCCATCCTTGTCCCCAGTGCTCTGTTCAGGGGCTCTGTGCCCGTGTCCCACCCCAGCCATGGTGTCCCAATCGCTGGGTGGGAAGGGGCTGCCAGTGCGTTGCGGGGCAACCTGTGGCTTCAGTTAAACGGGGGCAAAGTCCCAGTCTGCTTGGCACAGGGACAGCGGTGGGAGGGGGTTCCCTGAGGGACTGTGCTGTGACACCCTACTATTGGGAGGGGCGTCCCATGAAAGCCTGGTGCTGGACAAGGATATGGGGTGGTTTGGGGTGGGCACTGTAGGGCATGGAGCCGGCTCTCTGCATAGAGACATCCGGGTTGCAGTGGCTTGGGGACAGGAGGTGACAGCTGGCATACACACTTGGCACCCGTGGGATGGGGCGGAGAGGGCTGCAGGGCTGAGACCCTGCAAACTCGTGCCATGGGTGAGCTGAGCTGGGCAGCAAGCCTGGAGGCATAGGGGCATCCATGCTGTGCTGTGCTGTAACAAGCTGTGCCATGCTGTACCGTGCCGTACCAGGCTGTGCCAAACTGGTGCAATTTGCTAAGCTCTTCCAGGAAAGCAGTGCCCTTCCAGGGCTGCTCCACTCTGGGGAAGCCCCAGAGAAAGTGGGGAGTGCTGGAACCCTGCCCTGCTAGGTGCTGTGTGGAGCACACCATGTCTCCATTGTGTTGAGGTCTCCCCCCCACCAGCTGCCTGCCACTTATCAGTGCTGAGTCACGGTACCAGGCAGAGCTGTGGGGACCGGGTGGTGGCCACAGGGTCACTGAGCTAGCTGGGGTGGCCCTGTGGTCTGGCTGCTGACCACAGGTTTCGGTGCCCTGTTCTGAAAGAGGAAATGGGTCATGTGTTGGGGTTCTGTGTCCAGAGATGGATTCTGCCATAAGTGCCACGGGGAAGTGACCCCGTGAGGTGCGTACATCCCACGGTGTGGGGCTCTGGGGGGGGGATGGTGGGGTTTAGCGCTGCTGGGTGGGGCTGGGACCCGTCGGGCTGGTTCCTTGTCTCTGCTGAGGCTGTGCCTGGGCATTGCTCCTGTTGGAGGCATTCACCTGGGCTGGGTCTCATGGCCACACTGAAGCCTGAGTGGGGGCTACTGGGTGTAGGGTGGGTGAGCAAGGGATGCCAGCAGGCACTGAGTGGTTTAGGAGAAACTGAGGAGTGTTGAAAGCGAAACTTTGGAGACCACGTGGATGGGTTATTTTCGGCACCACCATCACCATGATGGGAAACATGACGGCATGGCTGTGGGGCGGGCAGCCGCCCCCACTGGGATGGATGGATGAATGGACTTTGAGCGTTCCTCCTGTGTGCCCCCCCCATCCCATCCCACCCAGCACAGCACTGGCACAATGCTGCAGGAATCTCCCAGTCCCACCCAGTTCCCTTGGGGCCAAGTCCAGCTCACGTCACTTCTGGTGCCGTGGGAAGGCATGGGATGAAGGCGGGGGGGTCCCCTGCCAGCGCCACGGGTGTGGGGCAGGGGCCTGGCAACAGCTCCTGGCAGCGCTATTGTTTTCCTGGCCTTGGTGTTCCTGCCTTTCTCCTCCTCCTCCGCCTCCTGCTCTGGGGGAGTCAGCCCAGTGCTGGCCCTGCTCCCAGCACAGCTGCTGGCGGCTGTTGGGGATCTGCAAGGGGAGTTCAGCATGGGGTCCCAGTGCCCCCACCTCTGCAGTTGTGCCCGATGGGGGTTGGCACCATCTCTGGTCCCAGCACTGCGGTGGCATGTGCTGATCCACAGCCCCGTGCCCAGCTCTGAGCCTCGGCAGTGTTTGTGGGGAGCAAAATAGAATTCCTGCTCACTGGATGGTGACTGGGAGGACACCGGGGTTGCTGACCCCAGTGATGGCAGGGCCAGCTGCAAAGGTCAGGTCCCCAGCATGCCTTGAGTCACCGCGTGGCCGTGCCCTGCCCGCGCCACTGCCTGACGTCACAACAGGGACTCAGATCATGGGAATGTAGGTGGCCCTGGGCTCTAAGTGACCTGGTCACCATGCTTCCCGGCCCTCATTAAGCAGAGGTCACTATTGAAGAGCGGTGTTTGTCCTGCACTCAATGCAGGGCACGCCATGATGACTGTCCCCTGTGTCCCATGTGTTCCTCATCATCAGGGGATACGGGCAGGGTGACATCCTCTGTTCTCCCCTCCAGGTGCCCAGCAGGACAGCTCGCAGCTGGCATGGCGCAGCCCAGCGCACCCCCCCCGTATGACGACAAGAACCCCCTCTACCCCCCCAGTGCCTACCCCCAGCCGTCCCACTATGCTGGAGGGTACCCACAGCCAGGGGGGTACCCAGCACCTGCGGGGTATGCGGCGCCGGGGGGGTATGGGACACCAGGGGGATACCCGCAGCCAGGGATGGCCATGCCCACCATGCCCATGCGTTTTGGTAAGCTGGGGAGCTTTGTTTTGGGGTGGGGGCATGGGTGCTGGGGGCTCCCAGACTCTCTGTTCTGTGGAGGGTGTCCTCTGGTGTGCTGTCATATGGGATGAGCTGTGGTGACCTTCCCTGGCAGGTGATACCTATGGAGGTGAGGGTATGGGAGGCAGCTCCCCCATCCAGTCGGCTGACTGGGATGACAGGAAAGTACGGCACACCTTTATCCGCAAGGTGAGTCTGGGGCATCCTTTGCTGGGGGGGGGGGGGGGGGGGGGGGGGGGGGGCACAGGTTGGTGGCAGCAGGCTGAGTGCTGACTGCTTGCTGCCACCTCCCACAGGTCTATGCCATCATCTCGGTGCAGCTGCTGGTGACGGTGGGGATCATCGCAATGTTCACCTTTGTGTGAGTGAGGTGGTGATGGGGGGGGAAGGGGGCTTACCCTAGGATCTGGGGGGAGCATTTTGGTTCTGGGCGTGGGAGAACACAGGGGGAGCGCGTGCCAACCTCATGCCTATCCCTGCCACCCCACAGCTCACCTGTCCGCTCTTTTGTCCAGAGGAACACTGCCATCTACTACTCCTCATAGTGAGTATGAAGTCCCTGTCACCCTCTGGGTGAATGTCACTCCCCCCACTGCAACCGGGTCCCTTGGGCTGAGCCTTCTGTCTCTCTGCAGCGCCGTCTTTCTGGTGACCTATCTGGTGCTGGTCTGCTGCCAGGGTCCCCGGTGAGTGCTGGGGACAGCGGGGGGGGACACAGCTGTCTGGAGGTCCCCTGGGCTTTGAGGAATGGGGATAGTCTGCACCGGTATGGTGCCACCCAAGCCCAGGAACCCCACCTGGGGTAGTCCCTGTGGAAGGTGAGACAGGGGCTTGGCGTCACGAGGACATGAGCACTAATACCATCTCACTGCTCCTCAACTCTCTCATCCCCAGGAGACGCTTCCCGTGGAACATCATTCTGCTGAGCATCTTTGTGAGTAGGGGGACATGGGTTCGGGGCTGGGGGGTGACAGCAGAGACGTGTCCCACAGAAGGGACGGTCCCTGCTGAAGAGGCTTGAGGAGCTGGCAATCAATCTGCCCCTGCTTTGCCATCACTGACTCAGCCCTTCTGTCCTGCAGACCTTGGCCATGGGCTTCATGACGGGGACCATTGCCAGGTATCCAGTACGGCTCTGGGAGGGTTGGAGTCCCTGTCCCTTGCCATGCCTGTGATGACATTGCTGTCTCTGTCCTCAGCATGTACCGGACTAATGCCGTCCTCATTGCCATGCTCATCACTGCCATTGTGGCCATCATTGTCACCATCTTCTGCTTCCAGACCAAGGTGAGGAGGGGGTGTGCACTGGGGTGGGGATGGGGACATGGGAGTGCCTTCCTGGGAGTGCCCTCCTGTGACACTTCCTCCCCCCCAGGTTGACTTTACGTCATGTCCAGGGCTCTTCTGTGTGCTGGGCATTGTGGTCATGGTGACAGGGCTCGTCACAGTCATCGTTCTCTCCTTCAAATACGTGAGTAGGGGGCTGCAGGGGGCTGCTTTCCCCTGGAGACAGAGGGTGGAATGGCTCATGTCCCCATGTTCCCTCCCCATGCAGGTGCCCTGGCTCCACATGCTGTATGCAGCCATCGGCGCTATTGCTTTCACCCTGGTGAGTTTCACCCTGGTGCTCCCCCTCCTTGCCCCATGCTGGGGAGCCCTGGGGAGATGTAGGGCTCCTCCTCCTGACCCCCCCCATGTCTCTGCCCCCAGTTCCTGGCCTATGACACACAGCTGGTGCTAGGCAACAGGAAGAACACGCTGAGCCCCGAGGAGTACATCTATGGAGCCCTCACCATCTACACTGACATCGTCTACATCTTCACTTTCCTCCTGCAGATTGTGGGCCGAGACTGAGCCCCTGTGTGGGACCCCTTACCCCCTCTTCAAAATGCTTCTTTCTCTCTCCTCCCATTGGCCAAGCTACTCCTCTTCCAGCCCCCCAGTCACCAGCCAGGCTCCTGATATCCCCAATTGGGATATTGCTGGCTACCAGGGCTGCAGCCCCTCTGCCACCCCGTTGTCCCCATGAGGCCACCCACTTCCCCAGAGCTCCAAGGGGCCAGGATCAAGGGTGACGCTGGGGTTGTCCCCATGGCTGGGACGGGCAAAGGTGCTCCCAGCATGGGGGGTGCTCTGCTCGCTTGTAAATAGGCTTTGAAGCTGGTGCCTGTGTACAGTTCTGCCTGGTGTCCTCAGTGCTTCAGCACCCCCTGATTGTGGCCTGTTGAAGGGGAAGGGTTCCCTGTGTCCCACACTTGGGCCCTGGGGCTCTCTGGCCCAGGGGGATTGCCAGCAACCAATGGGACAGTGCTGGGCTGTGCCTGGAGCCCGGGCTCCATTCAGTGCCTTAGATGCAGCCTTGGCCTTGCCCTGGGCACAGCTGGGCCTGGTAGGTCTCACTGCAGGCCTGGCCTCGGGCCACACTCAATTGTTACACATGCTCAATAAAACACTTTAATTTTCCAGATGGCCCCAGTGTGATTCAGGCAGGGCCCTGTGCTGGGAGTGGGTGGAGGTGTCCCTGGGTCGGTCCCTGTGGTCGGCCGGGTCCCAGCTATGCACCCCGGCGGTACCGCTCCGTCTCGTAGTCGCCCACGTTGGCTCCCAGCATCTTGCGGCGGATGTGGAGCTGCTCCAGGCGGTTCTTGTCCACCTCTCTCTTCACCAGGAGGAAGAGGATGATGCCGCAGGGCAGCCCGATGGCCCTGGGGACAGGTAAGGGACAGAGCCCTGTCACCACGGGTCCCCTGGTGCCGAGCCTCCCACCCCCAATGACGCGCCTCCCCACTCACCAGGCCACCCCCACCGGCTTCATGGGGTTCTTGCCCTTCTTCCGCGTGGGGATGTATTCCACCCCCTCGGGGAGCTGCCCTGCCGGCTCTGGTGGCCTCGGTGGCACGGGTGGCCCCGCAGGCCGGTGGCAGCTCTGTCGCCCCTGAGCCCCCCGCCCGGCCATTGCTAGGAGCCCTGTAAGGAGAGAGGGCGCAGGGAGGTGGCAGGGGGGGGACACACGTCGCCCCTGCTGCCCCGACCCCCGCCCGCCCCGCACCCCTGCCCCGGCCGGGGGGGCGTGAGCAAAGGATGGGCGGGGCAACTGGAAAGGGGCGTGGCTTAGCAAGGAAGGGCGTGGCTTCTGCTGCCACTCTCGTGCGCCGGGTGTGGCTGAGACCCTGCGGCGTCGGGGGCCGCCCTGGGCACTGTAAACCGCGGAGAGCCGCGGCGTGATCACCCGGCCCGCTGCCCGCCCGCTACCCGTCTTTACCGCGCAGTCCGCCGAGCGCCGCCGCCATGCTGGACCGTGACGGACTCCCGCGGCCCCGCTGCATGCCGGGAGGTGTGGTCCACAGTGCTGGAGCTGCCGGCGAATGGCGCTGTAGGGAAGGAATAAAAACTGCATTTCCCAGAGCGCACCGCGTGGGGCGGAAATCTCTTGTCGTGCTGGAGGAAGGGGCGGGGACGCAGGTGAAGACGCGGGCTCGGATTGGCTAGAAGGGGAGGGCGATGGGCGGGGATTGGCCGAAGCGGGGCTGAACGGCGGAAGTAGTAGCTGTGGCGGCGGGGTGGGGCGCAGGGGCAGGCCGGCATGGAGCCCGCGGAAGGGCCTGGCGCGTTGGACTTCCACGGCGACGAGGAGATCATCGAGGTGGTGGAGCTGGGCCCGCCCGGGCCGGGTGAGACGGGTCCCGCCTCCTCCCGGGGCACCGGGTCGCCCTGCCCCAAGGCCCGGTCCCCGCGGGCAGGCCTCGCGTCGCGTCCTCTCCCCAGGGCCTCCCGGGCACCCAGGGGACCCTCAACCTCCCCGCTGGGGCCTCCTCCGCCCGCGGGGCCGGGACCCCTTCGCGTTGGGCTGCCCCTGGGCCCGCGGGGGCTGAGGTGGGCGGGGGTTGACCTTCGCTCCCTGCAGATGACCTGGCCGCAGAGGTGGAGGACGTGGACTTCGAGGACGAGGGAGCGGAGGAGCCCGACGGTGAAGCCTGGGAGACGGAGGACGATGAGGGGTTGGAGGACGGCATGGAGGCACAGGATGACAGTGAGGTCACGTTCTCGCTGCACTCGGGTGAGCCATGAGGTTTCCCTGGGGGGAAGCTGTGCTGTGTCCCTCTCCTGGTTCTACCAAGTGGGTTCGAGGAGTCTCTGACAGCCGTTGTGCCATGGGGGTTTGCATCTGGGGAACATTCACTGAGGTGTGAGCATCTCCCCACTCTGCAGCCTCAGTGTTCTGTGTGAGCCTCGACCCAAAGACCAACACACTGGCGGTGACGGGTGGGGAAGATGATAAAGCCTTCGTGTGGCACCTGAGTGATGGAGAGCTCCTGTTCGAGTGTTCAGGTGAGAGACTCGGGCCAGGTATCCCTGCTCAAACGGGTCCTGCAGCCCTTCCTGGCTGCATTTGCTCCTCCCCAACTGATGCTCCTGTGGAGCTGGGCTCTCGATTGTTTTCTATAGCTGGCACTTGTTAACAAAATGGTCTCTGCTCGTTGTCATCTCCAGGACACAAGGACTCTGTCACCTGTGCCGGCTTCAGTTATGATTCTGTGTTTGTGGCCACGGGTGACATGTCTGGTCTTATAAAAGTGTGGCGGGTGGAAACCAAGGAAGAAGTGTGGTCCTTTGAGGTGGGGGACCTAGAGGTGAGTGGCTGAAACCCTGCTCCTGCCAGAAACGTGGGGGCTGGTAGTGGGACCCAGCTCTGGCTCTCCTCCCTTCTGCGAGGATGCAACCCTGTGACACTGCCTGTCCCCTTCTGTGCACAGTGGATGGAGTGGCACCCTCAGGCCCATGTCCTTCTGGCGGGCACGGCTGATGGCAATTCCTGGATGTGGAAGATCCCCAGTGGAGACTGCAAAACCTTCCAGGGCCCTGCATGCCCTGCCACATGTGGCAAGATCTTGCCTGACGGTGAGACACAGGGTGCTCCTGTGCTAGGGGGAGGCAAAGGATGTGGAAAGCTCTGCCTCTAACTGCTGCTTCTGTCTTACCCAGGGAAACGAGCCGTAGTGGGATACGAGGATGGGACCATGCGCATCTGGGATCTGAAGCAGGGAACCTCACTGCACGTCCTGAAAGGTGGGGAAGGGGTTTTTCACCTGGGGTGCATCCCCCATGCATTGAACTCTGATCTCTGTCTTTGTGAAGAGGCAGCACACACAGAGACACCAGAGGCTGTCAGGCAGCACACACAGAGACACCAGAGGCTGTCAGGTGCTGGGGGGGCTGTCCTTGTGGCAGCTGTCCCCTGCCATGGGGCTGCCACCATGGGATGGGTGCAATGCAGAGACTGAAGAGGGAGGTGTGCTGGGCTTCAAGGTGTGTGGAGTTTGGCAGAGATGGGTGTAGCTCATGCTTCCTATTCATTTCCACAGGCCAGGACGGCCACCAGGACCCCTTGACATGTGTGGCCAGCAACCAAGATGGCAGTTTGATCCTGACAGGCTCAGTGGACTGTCATGCCAAGCTGATCAATTCTGCCACGGGCAAGGTGAGTCCGTGCCCAGCTGTGGGGCGCCGTAGTGGAAATGAATGACCTGTACAGGGCAGGATGGTGCTGGGCTTTGCCAGCCGAAAGCAGTCTGCGATGGCCACCCGGGGCCAGCAGGAGGCGTGCTTGGCCACCACTACCACCATTTCTCTGCGACTGAGAGGATTGGGCGTGAGGACTCACGGCGTTCCTCCCCCAGGCGGTGTGCGTGTTCAAGATGGAGAGCGTGACTCCCAAGGCTACTGCAAGTGAGGGCGAGGAGGCAGAGTCCAATTCAGTGGAATCGCTGGGCTTTTGCAACGTGTGAGTGGGGCATTGGGACAGGGTGTTCTGCAGACACAGCTATGGGGGAACTTTCTTACCAGTATGTTTTCTCCCTTGGGAACTTTGTGCTGCTTGCTGGCTCTTGATGTCTTGGTATTTTCCTTATGGATGTTCTGTGGTTCCATCTCTGACCATTGGGTTGTCCCTCTTCATTTCAGTGCTCCTTCAATCCCGATCCTTCACACACTTAATTTCCTGCTTGCTTTAGGTCCTCATAAAACTTGTTTCTCTCTCTGCAGGATGCCACTGGCTGCTGTGGGCTACTTGGATGGTACACTGGCTATCTACGATCTCACCACACAGAGCTTGAGGCATAAATGCCAACATGAGGTACTGCCCTATACCTATTCTCCAAGCCTGAGGGCATCTCTGGGTCCAGCTGACACCTCTGGAAGCCCAGCGTTGCCTCTCTTAGAGCCTGGGGGCTTTCCTGGGTCTAGTTCCCCATTCGTGCTTCTCTCTGCTCGTGGGCTTCCCCAGTGGTAGCTCTGGTCCTACATAGAGGATGTGCCATGTCTTGGTCGTGAGGGCTGTCCCTTTGGTATGGGAACAGTGGAGAGCACTGGAGGGAGGGAGAGTGGATGCTCATGATGTGCTGCGACTTACTGACTGTTATTCCTTGTGCTCACTCTGCTTCCCCCCTGTATTCCAGTCAGGAATTGTGCAGTTGCTGTGGGAGGAGAACTCTGCTGTGGTGTATACCTGCAGCCTGGATGGGGCTGTGCGGCTCTGGGATGCCCGCTCAGGGAAGATGATCAGCGAGTACCGAGGGCACTCTGCTGAAATCCTCGACTTCACTGTCAACAAGTGAGTAGGGACCCCTCCTAGCCCCGTCCTTCCCTAAGGCTGCTGGGATGAGGAAACCCCTGAGCCCTGGGGTGCATCCTCTGGAAGCGTAGATGCTGAGATTGAAGGATCTCAGGGAATAGAGAGGTGGTTACAGCTATGGCTGTCCAAAGCCCCCAGCCCCACTGCTGAGCCCTCTCTCCCCCCCCCAGGGATGCCTCCATTGTGGTGACGACCTCCGGCGACCACCAAGCCAAAGTGTTCTGCGTGCAGCGCCCTGATCGCTAGGGTCAGTGCTGAGGGTGGTGGCCTGGCTCTGCTAGGCAGCTCGTGTACAGCGGGACAGGGGAGATGGGTTTCACTACTCTTCTCCAGTACGTGCTTTGTAATTTTTCAGCCTGCCCCACTTTGCCCTCACAAGTTGGGGGCTGAGTCTGGGGTTTTGTATGAAAATGTCTTATAATTATATATAAATTATTTCACTTACCTGGATCCCATCCACTCTGCTTGCTGGGGGGAAGGTGACCTTAACAGATGTGATCTGTCCCCATTGGGATTTTAGGAATTAGCTATGGGGGCTGTTCTTCCTAACCAGGCTGGCCCCAGTGCTCCTTAGTCCCAGCCCTGTCCCAGAGATAGGTAGGCTTTTTTCTTCTTTTGCTTTTGGAAAGGAACCTTTTGTGCCAATGCTATCATATGCTCTTCAGGAGCACGGCTGGACCTGGTTGCCTACATGAGAGCCAGCAGCCAGCTCTGAGCTGAGGGGCATGGGTGGATGGTTTTATTCTGGGCTGACTGGAGGCAGAGACCTGCACACTAGCCATTCTTAGCAGGGGAGACATGGAGATTCCCTGAGCAAGGCAGAAGGCTATGA